TCAGTCAAAAGAGGTTCTAAATGAAGCTTGTCAAACCCATGCCCTGCGTACAGCCCAGGATCGCTTTGGACGCAGCCCAACACAAATTCCTAAACTTTCTTAAGACATTATGATGTTTTTTGTGATTTTTGTTTTAGTTCATCAGCTATTGTTAGTGTATTTGATGTTTGGCCTAAGACAACTATTCTTCCAATGTGGCCCAGGGAAGCCAAAAGATTGGATACCCCTGTTTTAAGTTGACATAGAAGAGTTTGGACTTATTATTTCCCATTTGAGTTAGTAAAACTTCCATGAACCTTCCCTTACACACATTCTTGCAGTTGGGCTGATAAAATTAATTTCCATTATGCAATCTGCTGCCCATAAACTGGCTTCCAGCTTTATCTCTCTCTTTTTTTTTTTTTTTTTTGAGAGACGGAGTCTCGCTCTGTCTCCCAGGCTGGAGTGCAGTGGCGCGATCTCGGCTCACTGCAAGCTCTGCCTCCCAGGTTCATGCCATTCTCCTGCCTCAGCCTCCCAAGTAGCTGGGACTACAGGTACCAGCCACCTCGCCCGGCTAGTTTTTCGTATTTTTTAGTAGAGACGGGGTTTCACCGGGTTAGCCAGGATGGTCTCGATCTCCTGACCTTGTGATCCGCCCATCTCGGCCTCCCAAAGTGCTGGGATTACAGGCTTGAGCCACCGCGCCTGGCCCCAGCTTTATTTCTGTTCCTCCTTTGCTTTGATCCAACAGCCCCCACATTCTTGAGCCCCATTTGTTACAAAAACAAAAAGTAATGCCATTTCCCAGAAATTTCCTCTAGGGAATTCGACAAAATGTCATGAAACTCAGAAGTCATAGGTCCTCTGGAAAAGCTGAGGCTAGCAGTATTTCGTGGCATCTGTGACAGCAGCAGTGCCAGACCTGTCGCCGTTGGCCCTGCTAGGGCATGGATGCATGTCATGCACTGAACAATTGCACACTGGGAGAGGCTGTGCTCCGGCAAGAATTCCAGTGGGGACGCTGCTGTCCAGTTGATGATTGCCAAAGAAACACCCTTTACTTCCTCATTTATCCATCCAGGATGTACTGTCCATTTGTTTGAAAATGATGGGAAACTAATGATCTGGAACATAAATATCTCTTCCTTTCGTAGAAAGACATATCTGAGGAGCGACTGAAGAGGGAAGGCAGGTTCCAGGTACAATCTGTCAGCGCTGCTGCTGGCTGTCCTCCGCAGCCTGGAGCTGCTTTCTTGCACAGACTGTCCAATAAACTTAAACAAATTTCAACTACATCCTGGCTATTTTTTCCCATCAATATAAACCTCCATCCTGACAGCTTTTATGAACAAAATCAAGTCTTCGAGAATTTTATTTCCTTGGTGCAGCTTTCCAGGGGTGGAGCTTCCAGCCTGACCCCCGTCCCGTGAGGTCACCTGTCATCCTGAGGACCTCAGTGGGTCGAGTGGCTGTAGGGCAGAACATATACTAATTTACCGTTCTGTGCAAAACTGGAAAGAATATTGAAGCTCAGAGCTGGAGACCGTCTGCTCTTCTCATTACACATTTTATTTTTTAAAATATGTTTTTAAAATTTGCAGGTAGGTAAACATCCAAGCTCAGAAGGCCCATTGACATGATCCTCTTGTACAAATACCGCATGTTCACTGGAAGAAATAGAGTAGAAAACATAGCCTGCAGCACACGTGGCCCAGGCAGGTACTTCCAGCCTACTTTGCTGAAGCATCTCGTTAGAACAACGTGAGCGAGGTTTTGGCCTCTTCCTGAGACACTTATGCCATCTATCTAATCTCGTTTCATCCAAATATCCTGAAGAAGTAGAGGTCAATCATTTAGTATCATTGTTTTAGGAGAAGGGATATAGGGCAAGTCACATATTCCTTTTGCTTCCTTTTTTTTTTTTTTTTTTTTTTTTTTGGAGTCTTGCTCTGTCACCAGGCTGGAGTGCAGTAGTGCAATCTCAGCTCACTACACCCTCCACCTCCCACGTTCAGACAATTCTCCTGCCTCAGCCTCCCGTGTGGCTGGGGTTACAGGCATCCGCCACCACACCCAGCTAATTTTCATATTTTTAGTAGAGATGGGGTTTCACTATGTTGGCCAGGCTGGTCTCGAACTCCTGACCTCAAGTTATCCACCTACCTCAGCCTCCTGAAGAGCTGGGATTACAGGCATGAGCCACTATGCCCAGCCTCTCTTTGCTTTTAAAACAACAATCAGCTTTTCCATGTGATGACTCCTGCTGTTTTATAGTTTGTATAAATGTATGGGGTGCGGGTGTCATTTCGTTCCATGCATGGATTGCACCGTGGGGAAGCCGGGCTTTTAGTACCCACTCCATTTTCTGAGTCTACAGAAAAATATATCTTACTGTGAACTTGGTGCTTCTTTTCTATGCTGAAAAGAGGCAACCGAGATAAAATGAGAATAGAAGATGCGTGATCTGCAGATAAACCAAGTGGAAAGACAGCTTATCCACTTCCTCAGAGGTGTCTACTGAGCATCTATGTTGTGCACGGCACTACGCTAGCTTCTGTAAGGAACAGACATGTCAATGGTGCCTGGCCTCCAGAGCTTACAGTCTAGCAGGAAAGAAGACAACCTTGAAAAAAAGATACAATGTGTTAATTCTCCAGTGGAGGGAAGATGTTGTGTGGTGCCCAGATGAGAGATTATCCATCAGGATGAGTGGGAAGGAGGCCGCTTGTCATCAAAGTGCCTAGCTCCTTTGAGGCTCAGCTTCCTCAGTTGACAACTGCGATGATAAATTTGTTTTTCTTAGAATTTCTTTTAAAATCACGGAGGCATCTGGCACAGTGCCTGCCTCTCAAACAACATTGGTTGAGGTGGATGATGTATCAATCTTAAGAATCATGAAAGATGTGAATGATGTATGATGGTGTCATCAATTCTGAATATGACTTGAACAGAAGAGAGAGAGCTCCCTGTCAGTGGAGGTAATCAAAGAAAGTTTCACAAGGAAAAGGGGGTGAAAGCTGAGCCCTGAAAGATAGGGCAGAATTTAAAGATGAGGGGAGGGAAACGGGAGTCGACTAGGGGAGGGTATCTCGTGGCAAGATGGAAATGTCATTAGTGAGGGACAGAGACAGGAAGGTAGGTGGTGTCTTCCGTGAGCAGAAATGTCTGGACTGCAGAGGGTCCAGGGAATGGAAGGTCCTGTAAGTCAATGTCAGACTCCAGAAAGCCTCGAATGCCAGCCGAGGGCCTGAGGATGTCAGAACTCACCAGACCTTAGAGATCACCTTGTCTAGCCCTTCATTTACACACGAGGAAACAGACTCAGAAAACTTACCCGAGGTGACGTGGGTAGTCAGTCTCTCGGATGACTGTCATGTTATTTCCACCATGCAGTTGCTTTCTAATCGGGTACTTTGGAACCCCAAGTTTCCTAGCGAGTCCTCAGTGGCCCCCATATAGTAAGCGGGAGAGAGGAAGTTGAGACTGTGCCGAGGATTTGCCAGTCAGATACACCGGGTAATTGCCCAAACATTTCACTCGGAACTTTGAAAGAGATTCCCTTACTCTTTTAAAAAAGGGAGAAAACTTCACTTTACAATAGCATGTTGTTTGGTCTTTACATTTTTTTGGAAGAACAGAGCCTTTGAAGATTTTCAAGTACTAAGATAACGTAAGTGAAGCACTATTTCAGAACAGGCGGGCTGGCTATGTTTGTGAGCATAAAAACAAGAGGCCCTTGCAATTGAGGTGTGAATGGAGGTCAAGTTTTGTGAAAGCCTCCTGGAAAATCACTGCATTCCACCATGTTTTCTGTTTTAAAGAACCTTAGGCTCCTTAAAATGCCCTACAACTCGTGGTGACTTCATCAATAAACATCTAGCTGATGTAAGAATAACCGGTAACTACTCCAGACACCCAGGGGACCTGTTACTTTTCTAAGTTAATGTTTAGACTCTCCTGTTTCTTAATGCCCTTGACAGGTTTTATTTAAGTTTGAAAAATATCCAAGTTTCTTTCCTGTCTTGCCAGTGTTCATTTTGAAAGAACAGGAGAAGGAACAGCGCAAAGAGGAATGTACATATGTGCCAGCTCAGAAATTATTAGATGGACCTTGAATTAAATATTACTCCTCCAGCAGGTTTGCAGGAGCTGAGGGTAATTCTCTTCACTCAGATGCCTTGTAGAGTCCAAAGCTCACTGCTAGGACTAGTTTCTATTATACCTGAGTCCCCACAATGCTGGAATCATTCTAAGAATGCAGCTTTGTAAGAAATGAGACTCGACTGATGGATAATCGATCAAACGACAAATAAATTATCACTGACTCTATGCTATTGGATTTAACAGACCAGGAGTTATAGTGCACAAATGCATGCGTGTGTGTTCATGTGATCATGTACATGTGTGTATATGCGTGTGTATGGCTGTCCGTGTGCATGGGCTCACATTTGTATGTGTCAGTGTGTATGTGTTCATGTCTGTGTGTATGCATTTATATACACCTGTCTGCATGTGTATGCATGTGTGTGTTCATGTGTATGTATGTGTGTCTGTGCACGTGCTCACATTTGTGTGTGTGCGCCAGTGTGTATGTGTTTATGTCCGTGTATATATGCCTGTCTGTGTGCGTGTGTGTATGTGTGTATGTGTGCGTGTGTGTTGCTGTCTCATTAATCATCACATCAGCCCTGTGAGGAGGGCACTTGGCTCACTTTACAGGTGAGGAAACTGACTCAGGTCTGTCAGTTGCCTGAGGTCCCATCAATAACACGGGGCAAAGCCAGTTTCCAATCAGGTCTATGCACCTCAGAAGATAATGTGTCAGGCTCCAGCAAATTTAGAAAGGCTCCTTCAAGGGAGAGTATCAGGACCAGGTTGACTTTAGTCAGTCCTGATGAAGGTGAGTAGAAAAATGAGGTTAGAAAAGAAGGGGCTGGTGCACTGGGAAGCACCATGCCCTCCTGACACAAAAGGCTCATCCCTGGAGACCTCAGTGCTCCTCCTCTGCTCCCTTTCAGCTCTTTGTGCGAGAACCTGAGAAGAGGCTGGGCGTGAGGGGAGACATCCGCCAGCACCCTTTGTTTCGAGAGATCAACTGGGAGGAACTTGAACGGAAGGAGATTGACCCACCGTTCCGGCCGAAAGTGGTAAGGACTCGCTCATGGGCCGCTTGGCGTCAGCCACTCTCCCTCCACTCAGGGCCATCTGCCTGTCCAAGTCACCGCAGCTGCCCACCCCTGCCGGAGCCCTGACTCCCCACTGGCCCCACTGTCCAGGAGGAATGCACTTCTCTAACACATGTCACTGGGCTGGTGGGGCAGGGAGGGGAGGTCACTCTTGTTTGCAAAATTTAACCTCTGTCATCAACATGCACCTGCATGAAGAATGGATTGCTGTGTGCCCATGCCTTAGGTTGAATATGAATTTGTGAGGGTGACTGTTAAACAAGACGGGGTTTTGCACATGACGCATACCTACTAAATGGTCCAGTCTGGGTAACCCAAACTCGGACATAAACCCTGCATCCTACATCAGGAATTTTGGAACTGTTTTTTCCACGATGTTTATTAAAGTATCTGTAAAGTGCTCATGTAATTACATTTCTTGACGGCAATTGTTAGGTGTTCTTTGGTTTAAGGGAGAAACTAACTAAACTGGTGCTTTAAAAAAGATAGGTCTGTTCATTTCCATATCTGTCCTCACTGGCAAAAGTCATTAAGCTACATCAGCAAAGGCAGAATGACCTGGTTTACCTGCGAGATGGGCCACCATAAAGTGAAGTCAAAAATAAAGCAAGGTTGGGCTGGGCACGGTGGCTCACACCTATAATCCCAGCACTGTGGGAGGCCGAGGCAGGTGGATCACCTGAGGTCAGGAGTTCGAGACCAGCCTGGCCAATTTGGTGAAACCGTGTCTCTACTAAAAATAATTAAAAAAAAATTAGCTGGCATGGTGGCGGGCACTTGTAATCCCAGCTACTCGGGAGGCTGAGGCGGGAGGACTGCCTGAGCTCAGAAGTTTGAGACTAGCCTAGACAACACAGCAAAACTCCATCTCTACAGAAAATACAAAATTAAGTGGGATTGGTGGTGCATGCCTGTAGTTCAAACTACTCAGTAGGCCAAGACAGGAGGATCACTTGAGCCCAGGAGGATGCAGTGAGCTGGGATCACACCGCTGCACTCCAGCCTGGTGACAGAGTGAGACACTGTCTCCAAAAATAGGACTTTTTAGAAAAACAACAAAAGTCATTAAGAAAGCACATTTTAAGTTATGAATATCACAATTTCTAAAAATACTAATTTTTAAAAGAGTGGAGCAAAGTGGTGGCTTTGCCAGCCTTAACCATTCCCCGTGATTGCTGGGAATACTGGAGTGACTGCCTGGGTAGACATGGGCCATCTGTGCACTAAAGGGGGCCAGGCTCATGGACTTCCCAACAGAGTCCACCCCCGAGAACGCACAGGCTATTAGTCGTGATAGTGAATGGCCAGAAGCAGCAGGTGCATCTCATTCCCAGGGCAAGAATAGTTGTTCTCAACATCTGTCCCAACCTCCAGGGACGTTCCAAGGGCCCAACAGGCCGGCCTCAAGCACTCTAACTATTTGTGACAGTACAACATCTAATACGTGGGTTAGTCATTTGTGATAAAATAAAAATTTTACCTTGTTTTTAGCCATCAGGACTGTTAAACCATGTCTCACCTTCCACTGCAGATTAAAATTGACTTAATGTTTTGCACATAAAAATCAAAACTTTGATCTACGCTTACCCTAAAGGGCATACCCAGTTCTGCCAGTAGGAAACGTTCCCTGACCTGTGGTCTGAGCTGCCGCCGACCTCACAGCGCCAGGGCCCTTGGAGGGTGGGAGGGGCCTGGCTCTTCGTTTCGCTTCTCTGTGCTTATAGGACGTTCTGTTGATCATGGTTGTTCTCAATCTCGGGACATTGAATTGAACACCCTACTGAATAGCATGTATGAAATAGATGTTTGCTTCCCCTTTCTCTGTTGTTTTGGTTTTTTTTTTTTTTTTGCCATGAAAACCAATGGGCCAAGTGGTCTGAAAGGACTCTGTCCCAGTCTGTGTTGTCTAAAAAAGACAGCCCAAGACGTTTACTAATAAAATACAAGGGCAGGGGACTGACAACAGCCAAGAATGTTGATAGAAGAACAGGAATATGTAATTGTGGAAATCCTTCTCTCTTCCCATCCCTCCATTCATACACCCTCACTCCCTCTCCCCACCACCCTCCCTTATCCCCACCTTGTGTTCCATGAAAACTAAAAAGACAGAGGTCAAATTCAGGCAGATCACTTTTTCAAAGCTTGCCGACCCTGCTTCATGTAAACCATTCATTAGAAACATTAGATCCCATGTGAATGTCCACAGTGGTAGTCTTTCTGTGAATTTATGAATTTATATTATTATGCAGCCGAGGACACAAGACTGTAGCCATGTTCAATGACAGCTGTGCGTGGTCATCTATAGGCACTGCCCCTATGTAGTGTCTCTGCACACGCCAACTTTGCCACACGCAGATCACAGCCTAGATAACAAAAGTGAAAATCATGAACTTACTGACTGATTTTGCTTCTCCTTCTTTGTTCCCTTAAACTCTGACCAAGAAATCACCATATGACTGCAGCAATTTCGACAAAGAATTCTTAAATGAAAAGCCTCGGCTATCGTTCGCCGACAGAGCGCTGATCAACAGCATGGACCAGAACATGTTCAGGAACTTTTCTTTCATGAACCCCGGGATGGAGCGGCTGATATCCTGAATCTTGCCCCTCCAGAGACAGGAACGAATTTGCCTTCTCCCTGGGGACTGGTTCAAGAGACACTGCTTGGGTTCCTTTTTCAACTTGGAAAAGGAAAGAAACACTCAACAATAAAGGCTCAGACCCATTCGCCCCCCATGTGATTTTATCTGTAGCAGAAACCAAGTCCACTTCACTAATGGCGATGCCCTGTGTCTCGTCTCCTGACATGTCTCACAGACGCTCCTGAAGTTAGGTCATTACTAACTGTAGTTATTTACTTGAAAGATGGGTCTCCGCACTCGGAAAGGTTTCAAAACTTGATACTGAAATAAATTATGACTCTTCACCTGGGCTCCAACTGCTGATCAATGAAATGCTTGTTGAATCAGAGGCAAACGGAGTACAGACATCTCAAGACTGAAACGGCCCCATTGCCTGGTCTAGTAGCGGATCTCACTCAGCCGTAGATGAGTAATCACTAACCCGTTTTATTCTATTCCTATCTGTGGATGTGTACACGGCTGGGGGACCAACCCTGGATAGGTTTTTATGGGAATTCTTTACAATAAACATAGCTTGTAACTTGAGATCTACAAATCCATTCATCCCGATTAACCATGAAATCCATGGTCAAGAGGACAGTGGAAAGTGAGAGGGAAGGTTTGCTAGACACCTTCGCTGGTTATCTTGTCAAGATAGAAATGATATTTAGAGTTCCTCAAAGATAGTATCATTTCACCCTTGCCAGTGAAACCTTTCCATCCGCCCATTCTCAGCAGGCTCCAGTGTCGGTGGAGTCGTTCACTGCCATCCTCACATTATAACAGGAAAATAAACGACATGCATAAGTCTCCTGGGAAAAGAACCTCAACCCCTTCTCGTGCCATGACTGGTGATTTCATGACTCATAAGCCCCTCTGTAGGCATCATTCAAGATCAATGACCCGTGCATGCTGTTTGCAGCAGTCAGTCGAGTTTAATTAGAATTCCAACCATACATTTTAAAAGTATTTGTGCTGTGTGTATATTTTGATAAAATGTTGTGACTTAATGACAAACAGGTGGATGTGTAAAAATGGAATTAAAAAAAAAACAAAAACAAGTCCTGTTAATCACTTCCTTCCCCGCTTGTCCCCCACAAGAACTTGCTTCTGCTGTGTCAGTCCTCAAAATGTAGCTAGCATTGAGATGATGTTTTATAATTGGGGGATTGGCTGGGCACAATGGCTCATGCCTGTAATCCCAGCACTTTGGAAGGCCAATGTGGGCCAATCACCTGAGGTCAGGAGTTCGAGACCAGCCTGGCCAACATGGTGAAAGCCTGTCTCTACTAAAATACAAAAATTAGCCAGGCGTGGTGGCGGGCGCCTGTAATCTCAGCTACCTGGGAGGCTGCCTGGGAGGCTGAGGCAGGAGTAGAGTAAGCCAAAGGGTGAGGAAATCAGGTGACCTTAAGGGAATGGTAAGAAAAGCAAGTCTGCATAATATTTGGAGTCACTAGCCTACCTCATCACACGGCTGGAAATAACTTTAGATATTATATTTAAAATAGAATAATATAAGCAGACTGTTGACAGTCTGCAGGTGTGCTGGGACATTTTCCCGACTACATGGAGCTCTTGTGATTTTTTTTTAAATAGACACTCCCCTAAAATGAACACGAGTAACCTCATTTAAGGAGATGGAGATGGGCACCTATCTTCGGATGTGTCCATTCAGGTGTCTGGGTCCTTTGTTCTGAAAATAGCACCATGACTACAGACCTCTAGTAATGTGAGAAGGTGACACTTGTCCTCCCCTTGCTCCAAATGAAAATGCTCACACGTTTACCAAATTCGCCTGCTTGTAGGAGGGAGAGGGTCCTTCAAGGCCCTGGATGGGCCAGTGGAGAGCAGGGAGCCCCCTGTTTTGTTCTGATCTGTGCTCTGCTTTGCATTTGCCGTGAAGCCCTCAACCAGGCATTTCATCTTTCGGGGCCTCCAAGTAATGGGGTTGGTGAAGATGCTATCTAAAGTCCTTTCTCACTAGAGCACTTTCTGGTTCTAATCTGAATCAAAATCCTGTGAAGCTGAAAGGTCAGTGAGGAACACTTTCCACAACAGACACTCACGGATTCCACTCGCTGCAGGCCTGGGGGTAGCTCTACCCCACTTTCCTTCCAACCATCCTCTCCTCACTCTGGGCTCCCACACACCCCTGCCCCAGCACCCAGCATCCTCCCGACACTCAGAGACCCCAACAGAACCTCCACCAGGAGACAAATAAGTGAAGACTGTGGGCTCTTAGAAACAGGAACCAACACAACTTTTACCCCCTCCACCAGACCAAAATAATGTTCTATTCATCATCTGATTTTGTTTTCTTTTTTTTTATTTTTTTGAATTAGAGACAGGGTCTCCCTATGTTTCCTAGGCTGGTCTTGAACTCCTGAACTCAAGTGATCCTCCTGCCTCAGTCTCCCAAAGTGCTGGGATTACAGGCCTCATCATTTGTTTTTAATAAATGTCACCTGTGTGAATCCATCAGCTGACTAACAAGGTTACTATTTGCTTCGTATTTCTGAGTGTGAGAAGTACTTATTACTCCCTTCTGTTCTTTCAGGGGTCCTCTGAAATTGCTTATTAATATCCCTATTTAATAGGGGAGAGGCCTGGCCAGGTGTGGTGACTCATGCCTGTAATCCCAGCACTTTGGGAGGCCGAGGTGGGTGGATCACGAAGTTAGGAGTTTGAGACCAGACCAACACGGTGAAACCCATCTCTACTAAAAATACAAAAATTAGCAGGTCATGGTGCCATGTGCCTGTAATCCCAGCTACTCAGGAGGGTGAGGCAGGAGAATCACTTGAACCCAGGAGGCGAAGGTTGCAGTGAGTTGAGGTTATGTCACTGCACTCCAGCCTGGGCGACAGAGCAAGACTCCATCTCAAAAAAATAAAATAAAATAAAAAATAAGGGAGAGACCTGAGGCCTAGGGAGACCATAAAGGTTACACTAGAAGGTTGAACAGTGGAGACTTGAACCCAGAACTCTTAGCATCAGATCTTGCTTCATTCCAGGGTGCAGGGTTTCAGCAACATCCGTCCATCAGCATCTAATGATTATTGTTCAGTAGAGTTTTAAGTGGACTCCCTAGTTCAGGGCCACACCTGGCTTACCCATCCTGCTTCTAGGGAAAATGGCATGGGGGGCCAGCCTCTTCAATCCCGGTCCTCTCACCACCACTCCCAGTTCCCCTCCACATTGTTCTTTAGCCTAGACTCAACCTTGCCAATAGAAATGAGAACTTCACCTTGGGGTGTAGTTAAAGGTTTTGGAAAAAGAGAGACCAGTGCTTCTTTTTGGAAGATACGGACTGAGAGTTTGGCTCTTTAGATAGACTGAGAGTTTGGCTCTTTAGATAAATCCTTTACCACTTCTGCATGTGCTGACAAATGAGGCCTGAGAGCTTGTGCACGAGAGGCTGAGAGGCTGGCCACAGAGAGGACAGGCTCTCTGTGCAAGAGGGGGCTGGCCACAGAGAGAGAGAGCCCGGTGCACAAGAGGCTGGCCACAGAGAGAGGGACAGGCTCCCTGTGCAAGAGGCTGGCCACAGAGAGAGAGAGCCCCGGTGCACAAGAGGCTGGCCACAGAGAGAGAGGGAACCCTGTGCACAAGAGGCTGGCTACAGAGAGAGGGCTCCTGTGCACCGAGAGGCTGGCCACAGAGAGAGAGAGCCCGGTGCACAAGGAAAAGGCCACAGGAGAGAGGGCCTCGTGCACCAGAGGCTGGCCATGCGGTGAGAGAGGGCTCCCTGTGCACGAGAGGCTGGCCACAGAGAGAGGGCTCCCTGTGCACCTAGAGGCTGGCCACAGAGAGAGCGTGATAGGTTTTCAGATCCTGCCCAGGCAAGATCAAGTGGCTCCACACTTAGGGGAGAGGAAGAAGTCACAAACCAGCCAGAGAAGAAGAAATGCCTTTGTTACATTATAAAAGTGCAGGCAGGGGTCCGAGCTCTCAGAGCTTCTGTCTCCCATGGACCCATCAAGGATGGCCACGAGAGGAAGTGTCAGCCTTAAACACCCACAGACCCAGAACATCCCAGAACCCACTCACAACAGTGCAAATCAAGGAAGCCTTCTCCTGCCACCTCTCTCCTCTTTCTCTGTCCTTTCCCAGCTTGGGGGAGGGAGCAGAAACCACGGTCATTGGAAGGAGTGGACTGAGCACGGGCGGATGGAAAATGTGAAGACGCTGACCACGTGCCTTCCCCACTGCGAGCCACCAGCACTGCCCTCTTGAACTAGATGAGAGGACAGGGTCAACTTTAAATCGGTTTTCAATTATTCATGGCACTGCACATGTAAGTTGCAGAAATGAGTCTTGAGGGAGCAACTGAAGGACATGTCTAATGTCACCGGAAAGGTCACGGGACCTTTGAGATTTCAGCCAAAGTTTGGAAGAACGAGCCCACAGAGCAGGTCTCAATGGATGGTGGGCACAAATAATAAAGGTATTGGTTTGGTTTGGCTTTGTCCTGAGAATTTTGCTTGTTTACACACAGACAAGCCCTAGAGCGACAGTGATGTTGCTCCTGGTGCCACAGCTCCACAGGAGATTTCTTGCACGTGGGGGACCACGCTCTTTACCACCGAGCCTGCCACCCTGGCAGACACTCCGCCATCACGTGCATTTGTTGACTGAGTGGGTGAGTAGGATGTGGGTGAGCACCTGTCTGCAATCCTCTGTGTGGCGCCTAGCACACGAGAATGCCTGGTGGAAACTACTTCGTCCTACAGGCACTACAGGGTTAACCAGACTTGGGTGTCAGGTCCTCTCTCCTGAAGAATTTTAGACAGAGGCAGAAATAGTTGATGAAGAGAAAAGGGATTTGCTAAAGGCCACAAGGCAGCCAAAGGGATGGGCAGCAGAAGCCAGGAGGTAGGGGCGGTCACAACAGCAGAGACACAGGGTCATCCTGTCACCGTAGTGTGAGTGACTCAAGGAGGGCTAAGACCAGCAACTTCCAGTAAGTTGCTCTCACTTCCCGGAGTTACTGAGGGGTCCCCAAGGTGCTGGGAGTCTTGCAGGCAGCCCTCCAGTCAGTCCTGTGTTGTTCTCGCTGACTCAGGGAGCCATCCTCACGGGCAGCAGCCCCCGGCCGAATGCAGCGGGGGAATGAAGCCACTGGCTGCTCTCCTTCCCTCAGGGCCGTCTGCTCAGTCTCCTGGAGGGTCAGTGATGAGGGGAGGAGCCCCGACTTCCTTGTTTCTCCCTGTGTCCTAGGTAAGTCCTGAACCCAAAGAGACTGAGTGTGTCCCTGGGGCATGCGTGTGCCTGTGTGTGTATATCAGAGCAAGACACCACACTGCTGTGAGCACCAGGCTGGCTGACTCATTGTTCCCTACATGCCTGATGTCTGCTCCTGCTCTAAGACTTTTACTCATTCTCTCCTACCAGCCTGAAAGGGCCAGCACATCTCATAAACAACCCCAAAGCCAACCGACGCCAGGCCTGGCTGCAGCACCAGCCTCCTGCACGGGGCCTTTGCTGACCACGCCAGCTGCTGCTGCCCAGAGATACCTCCTGCCTCTATTTGTCCTCTGAAATATGCACAGTGAAGAGCTTGGCCAAACTCTCAGAGCCGAGAGATATTTGCAAATGGAGTAGGCACCACCCAAGGTTGTTTCTGTACAGCACTCAACTCACTGTCTGAGAAGACCCTCAGAGGTTGGCAGCAACTCCCACCAGGGGGTCATCTGAGAGGCGCAGTGACCACAGTGATCAGTGATGTCTCACCATGAGGACAGGAAGGAAATGCCCAGCCAGGGAACCTGTTTTCTGCCCCCAGCTTCTGCCTTCCATGTCGTTTCTTCACTCTACTGAGGATGAAGCTTTGACTATAAAATATGCTGTTGGAATGCACCAACTGCCCTACTCCCAGAGGGCAGGAGGAGAGCTCAGTTTTCCTTGTGGAAAATTCTTGCAATGACCAGCTACTGGGTGAAGTGCTTTGTGTATATTACCTCATTTAACCTCCGACAACAGTCTCTGAGGACAGCATCATTGTCTCCATTTTATCAATAAGGACACTGAGGTTTGGA